ATGTCTCTCCCTTGGTCCAGCCTCATGTAGGGCCGTGAGTCTCAGCAGTGGGCGCAGTCTTTGGAAAGGCTCTTGGGTATGATGGCATTTACCAGCTGTAACCATTCAAGGAAACCCTTAGAAAGGGAATTAAAACCTCATTCTACACATCTGTACCTATTTGAGGGGAGTCTGGACATAATGTGGATATTGAAGGAAATCTCCTTAGGAGTCTTGAGACCAGAAAGCAGATAGCTTTTTTGGTTCAGAATTACCAAAGTGTTGGCCTGTAATCCCCTCCTCCTCCCAAGTGAAATTTAAGTTGCAGATAGTGATGTTTTATCGGAGATTTTTCCCAACTGGCAACCCGATTCCAAACCTCTTTATTTGGACCATTCTGGCTATATGAATTCTGTCTTCAGGAGATTTTCTCCTCTTAAGTTCTGTTTCTCTCACAAGTCAGAGTGATACAGTCACTGAGCAGCAACTGAAGAAAGACAGTAAATGCGAAGAAATCTCATGGACTAGGACCCCAAATCTTTCCACCCTTGAAACATTTTTCATTATAGCAGAACCTGTTCATTCATGGTAGATGTTAAGGCCTTTCTGTTGAATCTACTAATGATTAATAATTCTAATTGACTAATTCCAGAGCTAGTGTCTCTGTTTTATGGCACATGGAATGATAACAGAGTAATGCTTTAAAAAAATGGGGTTGCTGTGAATTGAGCAGCAGGGAAGAGGGCTTCTCTAGAGATACTTGCCTGCAGCTCTGGAGATCCTCCCTGTCAAAGAGCTAACTATGCTACTGGCAGAGGGCTGTAAGTGTACTAACAAGCCTACTGAGTCTTCCCTGCCTTTAGCAAAGAGAATGACCTTACAAAACAATTAGCAACAGGAAGAGGTAGTCTTGAAAATGAGTCTGAAATAATAATGACCATATCAGTTCAAGTTGAACTAGGCAGTCAATTGTGTAATACCTAGGCTAGCTTGCTCTGATTATTTCCAAATGCATAGTGCTGACTTTTGTATGACTTATACATACAGAACATTCTCTTGCTGGAAGGTTGATGCAGGGGTACTTTTCTTTTTTTTTCCCCCAAACACTAAATAAAGTCTTAATAGAATGGCAGGGCACTCCTGATTGATCAAAAGGGGACATACTTAAATGCTTTGAAATATCTAGGTTCCAGAAAGCAGAATGTAATATAAGTAATGCAGTAAACACTAGATAGAGTCTAATCCTGGCCCTTTATTAGCCTTATTACCTTTGAGAAATTTACTTAACCTCTCTAGTTTATTTCCTCTGTAAAATGAGGGAGTTAAGTAAATCTGTGTTTCCCAAACTCTGAACCTACCACAGATTACTAGAGATTAATTTAAGTGGCATATGAGACAATTTCAGACAATTTCCTGATAAAAGATTAAAATAAACATTGAATCGCATAGTTGAGAAAGTTACTTCTTTTTCAGTCTTTCTAATTATGTCAGACAAATTCTCAATTTGATATCAAGATATCTTTAATAGTTCTTTAACACTGGATAATTGTTTGGGGGTGGAGATGGGTAGGAATAGGTACTGGAAATCCTCTATTCCTCAAGAGTTTTTTGTTTTTTTTTTTATTGTGTTATGTTAATCAACATACATTACATCATTAGTTTTTAATGTAGTGTTCCATGATTCATTGTTTGCATTTAACACCCAGTGCTCCATTCAATACGTGGTGGGGGGTGGGAGGGATGTGGTGGCTGGGTGATGGTCATTGGGGAGGGTATGTGCTAAGGTGAGCGCTATGAATTGTGTAAGACTGTTGAATCACAGTCCTCAAGAGTTTCTATAGAAGAGAAATGAATTCCATTCCTTCGAGAGGAAAGTACTGAAGTGCTTTTTTGCTTCTTTCTGTCTACCATTTCCCTTCCACTTGGAAGGAAAGTAGTATACAACTGGTGAGTTTAGGAGGAGGAACCAAATGTGTGAGGCACAGCCCTTTCTGGCTTCTCTCATGGTACAGCCCCCTCTCAGAAGGCATGTTCCTCCTCCCCTGTGTAGTAGGCCATGGTTGACAAACTCTGCCTAGGGCTGGGTGGGAACTATTAGGAAACCCATAAGGCCAAAAATCCAAAACAAAGAACCACATTCTGTAGTTTATCCTTATAGTAATCAAGCTGATACTTTGATTGCCATTTTATTCTTCTCTGTCTCTCATTTGGTTTCAGACTCATAGGAGATATAAGGGAAAAAGCAGTTATACCCCTTTAACGTCTCTGATAATCTTTTTAAATGGAAATCTGGCTTGGGCTCAGAACCCTTCACGGGGAATAGTATCTGTATAGAATTTAATAATATGGTTTTGTTTTCAGTGAAGTTATTTAGTTGCCATCTTTAAATTCATGCAAGTTTTAAAATGAATTTTTAAAACATTAAACAGTACAGATAGTGCATAGATATGGTAAAAATTATAAAGTTCGTACATAATTGACTGAAGTTTAGAAAACACTGAACAAAATTATCTCTAGGATCTATTCCAGATTTAAATTCTTTTGAATATGTAGACCAGTGGAATAAAAAATGTTAGGTGGTAAACCAAGTTAAAAAAGGAACCTTCTTACATAACATATGTAATATGTTATTTTCATTTATTTTGAAATATATCATTATTGAGGAAGCTAAACTCTTATTTTTTATATAAATGAAAATGATAAATTCATAATATTTTACTAGGCAGTTGAGTATTGATATCTTTTTGATAGCATGTTTTTTGGTGATGATGTTTTTGTTTTATTTTGTTTATTTTTCTTTCACTGAAAGCAGTCAGTTCTGGGAAAGGTTTTTGAACTAGAAATCTTGGAAGGCAAGCACCATGTTATCGTTGTATACTCTGCCTCATACAGTGTTTGGAATATAGCAGTGTTCAATAAATACTTGAACTGAATGAATGAATGAATGAACAACAAATCAACAAAAATAAACTGAATTCTCCATCTTGAAGGTATAGGCATAGTTTTCATTTATATCTGAAAGCTGTCAATAGGACTAGCTGTAAGAAAGCTGAGGCCTTGGAGCAATCAGAAAGGGTAATACTTCTATATAAGTGAAAGACAGAGCTGGTTACACAGAGCATTTAGAATAACCTTGTTAGGAAGAAATCACAAAAGGAAGGTAGCCCTATTAATTTTGCTTTTGTTTATGGTCATATAGGAGAGGGTAGATTTTTCCTTTCTTTCTCTCTTTTTTATAAAAAAAAACCTGTGTTCCCTTCCTTTTTTTCTCTCTCATTCATGTACTACATCTCTTATGTCCATATCAGAGAAAGCACCCCAGTTTCCCTTGCCTTAGGGAGATTGTTAGAGCTTAATTTAAAATGTAGCTCACTCTTGGGGCGCCTGGGTGGCTCAGTCATTAAGCGTCTGCCTTCGGCTCAGGTCCTGGTCCTGGGATCGAGCCCCACATCGGGCTCCCTGCTCAGCGGGAAGCTTGCCTCTCCCTCTCCCACTCCCCCTGCTTGTGTTCCCTCTCTCACTATCTCTCTCTCTCTGTCAAATAAATAAATAAATCTTTAAAAAAAATAAAAAATAAAAAAAAATAAAATGTAGCTCACTCTTTCCCCATGCACTCTTAATTACAGTTTCTCATCTGATAGAGGTGCCCACCCCTTTCTTTCTTTCTTCCTTTTTTTTTTTTTTTGGTGCCCACCTCTTTCTTAACTGGCACCCTAGGTGAACTGCAATACTGGTAAATTTTTTTATTGCCATTTATTCGTGCAACAAATGTCATGTTTCAAGGGCTTCGTTCTAAGAATACTGAAATGAGTCTTACGTATCAGAGAGAGAGAATATTAACCAGACATTTTTAATTTTTAGTTAGGCCAACTGACTTTCTAATAATCATGCAGTTGGTTTGAGTGATTACTTTCCCAGGTCATGTAATTTACCTTAAAACATTTTGCATATATGCAAAAAAAAAAAAAAAACAACTTGAGGACTGTGTTCCATTCTGGTAAATACATTTTAAATGTATTCTAGGTTTATTCTCTACAAATGCATTCTTTTTTTAATGGTCCAGTGATAAACTGTGATTCTAATTCATTATGCACAATGACAACATCTTAAGTGGAGTCATTTTGTATGTTCGGGTTAATATTTTCTGTTATTGAAATTTAAATCAGTACATTTTATATTTGTGAAATTTCTGTGCCTGATGTCTTTGTGTCTTCTAGTTATTACTATGTGGTCTTCAATACATAAACTCTAAAGTCACTGGTTTATCCCATTTTGGGATGTTCATCTCATTGCCTTATAAAACTGATAGAACAGCAATAACAATGATATAGAAGTTGGATTCTGAAACTGATCATCATCTACAAAAATTAGTATCTAATCTCTGTTCTAACTTTAATATCCAGGTAAACAATCAACATAGATTATATTATTATCATAATTGAAAATAAAATAGATAATTTGGCCAAGAAAAAAGAAGACTTTAGAATTATCTGTTTTTTTTTTCTTTAAAAGATATAAATGTGTGGTTTATAATTATAATCTTTAGGTATCTCTAGTATCACTGTGCTCTGTCATGAAAGTAATGCAAAAGCCATTTGCTATAATGACAGTCTGGAAGTTTTGAGAACACTTTATTGTCTAGTTCACAAACAATTAAAAAAACAGAACTTTGCCTTGCTGGCTGTGTTCACTAGCAATACGGTTATTCTCTGACTAGATGCTTTGAGTGCCAGACACATCCTTGTCTGGGGTATGAGGTGTTGATACGGCAGCTATGTTATGACAGGAAAAAAAGAGAAAACTCCACAGACTTGAGAGGCAGACTAACCTAAATGTGAAATTCAGCTCTGTCACTTCCGTGCCAGTACCTTGGGCAAGTGACTTAACTGCCTCTATAAAGTGAGAATTATAATACTGCTTCAGACTTGCTCTGAGGGTGAAATCATCCAGAGTGAGTTCTTCTTAATGGTAACTGTATGAGGAAAGCAGTGTGGTGATGGTACGTTTTGATATCCTCGCAGGTGAAGTGAAGGACAAAACTGTTCAGGTGGTTGAGCTCCCCATTGTGGACAGTCTGCACCCTCGTCCACCGTATTTACCCTTGGCGGTACCTGAAGACCTCGCAGATCGGCTCGTACGAGTCCACGGCGACCCTGCAGTGTGGTGGGTGTCCCAGTTTGTCAAATACTTGATCCGCCCACAACCTTGGCTGGAAAAGGAAATAGAAGAGGCTACCAAGAAGCTTGGCTTCAAACATCCAGTTATTGGGTAAGAATCTGATATATTCCTCATAAAATGATATGTAGTAGCAGAGATATGTATAGTTTACAATATATTGTAAACTTTATGATACATAGTTTAATTTTCAGAGCCCCATCCAAAAACAGATGTTCCAGAGTTTACCTTAGGTCACAGGGAGATCATTTTTCCTTTGTTCACTTAGAACAGCTGAGTCATCATACTTTGTTACCTTCATTCACTTATCTATTCATTCAACAAATATAGTAAACCCATATTTCTGAAATTAAACCCTGTCTCCTGGGGAAGCTAGCAAAATTTTATTTTATTGAGAGTATTTTGGATGTCATACATGATTCCTGTCTTATCCTAACAAGGCCAAGAGATGAAGCTGTCACATTTATAGCTTTTCTTTTGTACTTTTTTTAGGCTTCATTAATTACCACTGGTGATTATTTTGCATTTTTTGATGTTCTGTTTTCTTTTCTGTCCTGGAAGCTGTTTTTGAGAATAAGAGGACATTTATAGTGTAAGATAATGTTAAAATTATTATTTAAAATTATCTCTTGGCCCACTTGGGAATTATCATGTACATATGCAATCAGTCTCATGTTTATGTTCAGGGAGATGTATCAGGAAATCCTATGACCAAGAAGAATCCAAAGGAGCATCTTTGCTCATAAGTATGTGCTCCTGTACACATACATAAAAAAGTTATGGGAAGAGGAATTTTCCTGAGTCCCGGTGCCAGATTTCATAGCTTGGGAAAATTTTCTTTGCTTAATGGAAAGAATACTGGACTGGACTGAGACTTAAGTGACCTGGCCAGTATCCCTGGCTTTTTCCTAATTCTGGACCAAGTAACTTATTAATGGTATTGGGCTTTGATTTTTCCATCTGTAAAATAGGGAAGGTAATAACCTGCCCTAAAAGTGATGATATGATAAGGAGGATAAAAAGATTTTAGTTCAGTGGGAAAAAAAAGTACTGTGAAATATTACTACCTTTCAGAGAGACTGATGCTAAAATAATTCCTGAAAATAAACTTGTAAGCTAGGCTGTGGCATTCTGTAGCTTATACTGTTTGTGATAAAGTCAGCTATTGAGTAATATTAATACATGTGTTGATTTATTCACTTATTTGCAGAACATTTATTGAATACCTGCTACTGTGAGGGACAGAGATTTTTTTTTTTAATGGCTTCTTCTGGCTTATTATAGTCTATTGGAAAAGACACATGCCCAGCTAACATTACATGGGTAGAATGTAATAAATACCCTGAGAGGTATTTATGAGAGGTCAGGGAAGAAGAAATGTACTTCCATCTGGCTCAGGAAAGTCTTCATAGATTCAGTGTTTGAACAGGATCTTGAAAGATAACAGTATAGTAATTAAATTACCAAAATACCTTCAACTACATTATCTCATTGATCCTATAACACAGTTCTGTGAAGTGGGCAGAGGTAACCGTTTTACAGGTAAGGAAACTAAAGGAAAGAAAATTCCTGCCCAAAGTTCTAGAGTTAATAAAGGCAAAACCAGGACTTAGACCCATCTTAACTTTGCTTGGAAGCTTCCCTGCAGACCAGAAAGCTACCCTAATTGTCCATGGACCATCTATCATATTAAGAGTTGGCCAAATATAGAAAATTGAAGTACCACAGATAATTATTTGTACATTGAGGTAGGTGTGCTGTAATGAAAGAGAAGGACACTAGAATTCAAGAATCTGGGGGTACCATCTAGCTTCTACCACTAACAAATTAGTGGTATATTTGGGCAATGTACATTGGGCAAGTACATTTGGGCAATGTACTTGATCATTCTGGGTCTTCATTGATTGCCACTCTTTCCTTGTTTAAAACTGAAAAAACTAAGTTAGATGGTATCTAAGGTTTCTATTCACATATTACTAAACAATTAGATTTTTGTGTCCACCCAACATTCATTCATTTCTTCATTGTATTTGGTGCTGTTGGAAATAAATAAAATCAGATTCCCTGCCCCAAAAGAGCTTGATATCTAATACAGATGACCATTGAACAATGCAGGGTTAGGACTGCTCACCCTCCATGCAGTTGAAAATCCATGTATAACTTTTGACTCCTCCAAAACTTAACTACTACTAAGTAGCCTGCTGTTGGCTGGAGGCCTTACCAATTACATAAATAGTCGATTAACACTTATTTTTTATGCTATATGTATTATATACTGTATTGTTACAATAAAGTAAGCTAGAGAAAAGAAGGTGTTATTAGAAAATCATAAGGAAGAGAAAATAATTTACAGTACCGTACTATAAAAAGTCTGTGTACAAGTGGACGCACACCACTCACACCTACGTTGTTGAAGGGGCAGCTGTAGTGAAATGCAAGTATACAACTTGTACTTTGGTGACAACTAGGTTGAAATGTATGTGAGAGAAACCAGCTTCCCTTTGCTTTATGTTGTCTTTGTATGTCTTCATACTTTTCACTGATAATGTCTTCAGAAGCATCAGTTTCCTTAACTATCTGATGAAAGACTTACATTAAATTAAAATGACTTCTAATACCTTTCACAGGCCTAACATCCTGATTCTTCTGTAAAGACCATCATGCTCCTCTCTCAAATTCTTGATTCAGGCCTAATTTCAGGAGTACTTGGAGAATTGAGAAAATTGATGAGTAGTACTCTGCCACTACCCCAGATGCTCCTCTTCCTTTGATTCTTCCTCTGTTGTTACAGCTCTTATTTGTTTTTATTTTCATTTTCATTTTCATATGTCCCACCCCACCTCTTCCCTTGTGTCTTAGTCTTCATATGTATAGAAGTTACTGATCCCCATTTTATTTATTTTTAAAGATACTATTTATTTATTTGAGAGAGAGTGCAGGAGTGGGGAAGGAAGGGCAGAGGGAGAGGGAAAAGCAGACTTGACAAGGACCCTGGGATCATGACCTGAGCCACCCAGGCACCCCTGACCCCTATTTTAAATGCTAGAGCTAAAGAAAGTACATGGTGAAATTATGAGTAACAAATAGTGCTTCTTCTCATGAAGCTTTTCATTGAAATTCAATGGAATTGTTCTTTCTGTCCCACTTCATCTCTGTGGAGCACAGTGAACAATTCCAATTTCATGAGAGAAGCAGTGATTAAGAAGGATGTAGGAAGAAAAAGATGATAGAATAGGTGTTCATATGATGGTATTCACATCTGAACTATAGTCTGGAATGCAAAGGAAAGAATACCTGCAGAGATATCAGATTAACTACAGTGAAAATAGACCCTCTCTCCAGATTCATAATGAAACGCTGGCCTTCGGCTTGACCTAAGGCCTGCCCATATACTGTGACCTAAGGGGAAACAAATCTACCTTTTTCTTTTTCCCATACATGAATAGCGTTTTAGTAATTTGGTAGGGGGGATGCAGGAAGGGCAAATTTAAGGAGAGTTTTAATTTATGAAAATAAACTCTGACCATTATTATTTTCATTACAATTACTTTGAAAGCACTAAGATGCGAGGAGAGTACTGTGGAAGTCAGCACATATTCAGTGCAGGACAATGTAAGTCTTTGTCCCCAATTTTACAGTTTTAGAGCTTTTTTTAAATAGGACAGCGGAGATCAATATCTGCTTGTGTTTGACAGAGTGAATGAAAAACAGCAAAAGGAAATTCATTATGCATACAACAAAAGGGCTAGAACGTCTCCATGAACTTAAAATAGTAAGAATTCTTAAAAGGTTTGCCTGCCTTGATTGTGCTATAGGAAGAATCCGTGCAGGTCTGTGTTTTCTTCAGACAACTTTCAATTCTACAAGCTGGCAGTTACAGTAACTGTACAGGGTATCATGAAGAAAAAGAAAAGTTGGCATCAAAATGTTGCAAAAAATATATTTAATATTCTGTAATTGTGAATCTTGGTATCATTTGTTGTCAAAAATCTTAAAAAGTTATATCCAGTTTTTATGGAAGGCTGGTTGGTATTTTGCTCCCTATATGGAGTATAACTCTGGAATCTTCCATTTATTTTACCATTATTCTTGGATATGCCAATTACCTTACAAGAAAGCATTCTTCAAAAGCTTATTTTTTAATTCTCCTTGTATTGTGTTAACATGCAAATATATTTAGAATATATTTGTTTGAATTTTTTAATATTTTTTTTCTAATGGCAAAATGAAAGAAAAATTCGTTTAAAATGTCTACGATGCCACCATGAATAACGGTATAAAGTTGAATACCCTATCAGCAGAATCTTTCTCCTTCTGCCCCCCCAGAGTCCATGTCAGACGCACAGACAAAGTGGGAACAGAAGCAGCCTTCCATCCCATTGAGGAATACATGGTACACGTTGAAGAACATTTTCAGCTTCTTGCTCGAAGAATGCAAGTGGATAAAAGAAGAGTGTATTTGGCCACGGACGACCCTTCTTTATTAAAGGAGGCAAAAACAAAGTGAGTTAGATGAGACTGGGATTCTTTTCAGTTGAAAGGAATCCTTAATTCCTATGACTTGTGATTCTTGTTATAATATTACTACTGATTATTAGCAGTTTTTTAATTCAAACAACTGTGTACTTGTGTGACTGTTAATATAATTAAAGCATATTTGAGGTGCCAGCAAGGTGTATGTTTCATTCTGAAGTCTCTTCTCTTGGTGTGTAGGCTGCTGCCGTCCTGCTGTGTACTCACATGACCTCTTTGTGTGTTTGGAAGAGAGAGAGCAAGCTTTCTGTTGTCTCTTCCTGTAAGGGCATTAATTCCATCATGAGCACCCCATTCTCATACCCTTATTTAATCCTCATCATCTCCCAAAGGCCCCATCTCCAAATACCATCACATTGGGGGTCACAGCTCAAACATAGGAATTCTAGGGGGACACACACATTCAGTCCACAACACTAACCGACTGCTAGAAATAAAACACACCAGGGGCTTACCTTTTTGCTTTCACTATCTTTACTAGCAATTATGGGCAACTGAAACATATGTAAAATATAAGTTTTCATCTCATAAAAAATTTCTGGAACTTGGAAATTTTATTAAAGGAAAGTAAAGAATCAGAAGACAAGTTTCATAAGTGGAACAATAAGAACTTCTAGTATGTATTAAACTGTAACCATCATTTATGGAACATGCCTATATTTCAGGCACCATGGTAGGTGCTGGGAATTCCATGATACGCAAGATACTCTGCTTTCAAGAAATTCCTAATCTAGTGGGAGGACAATATGAGTAGTGCTGCTGTAGAGTTAATGTAGGGTGTTCGGAAAATACATAAAGCACACTGATCCTAATTGGGAATTTATCACAGAATCTAGGTGAACCTAGAATTGGCCTTTATTTACTATTAACAAATAAAGGATGTATTAAATGTGTGAAAGTAGGAAATGAAGGAGAAGAATCTGTAGTCTCAGTTCTGCTCAGACACCATTTACTCCAGAAATCATCCCTGAATCCCTAAGTCTCCCTCCTCTGTGCATTCCCCTGACTCAGTGTTTAGCACTTGCTTACCTCTGTCTTCCTCACTGTATTATATAAGCACATTAGACCCAGTACCTAGCTCTAGTAAGTGCCCAGTAATTATTGAATTATGTTTATTTCAATCCCGTCGGTTTGGAAACATTTCATTAGCTGTTATTTAAGCTATTTGACTATTTTATTTATTTATTTCTTGATCCATTTTTTTATGTCACAAATAGGAGTTGGGAAGAAAAACATATTTAAAGTGAAGACTGTATTGTGGGTGTTTATCCAAATCATTGGATAATAATTTAAATCCTATTTCTCCCTCCTAAGAATCCAAATTAACCTGATATAAATTGCGTTTTTTTTTAAGTCTCCCTCTATCAAATACTCTCTTTCTCACACTGTCACTCTCTCACACACACATACACACAAAGGACCATGAAATTCATCAGCCAAGCATAAGCCAAGTTATATGCTTATAGTTAGGGATTAAATGAACATTTGGCCACAAAACACAATATGAAATCTTCACAGATACTTTTCCAGTTTGATATCCAGACCGATTAGAAACAAAGTAGAAATAGTTCACCATGCTCCTTCATTTTAAAATACCTCATTAAATTTGTAGCTTGGTTGAAAAAATAATAAAATATTAATTTTATCTACTCTTTTACTTGTTCTTGAAGCATCACAAGCTTTTTCCTGTCTTTCTTATTTCCCTGATTAGCAAAATAATTTATGCTCATTAAAAGATATGGAAGTTGGTAAGTATACAGGCAAGGAAAAAATGTTACCCACAGTCCTATTACTCAGTGGCAACAATTACTTACATGTTGACTTATTCCCTTTAGTCGTTTATATAGTTACCCATTTTAGTAGTTGATCATATTGTATATAATAATTTGAATTCTTTTTTACTTAATACAGCAATGGATCCATTTTCTCAGGTCCCTAAAAGTTTAATCATCATAAATGTCCCTTTTAATGACTATGTATCTCCTGTATCGATGTGCAGTTGCTTGCTTGCTCATTCGCCTAATATTGTACAGTTAGGTTACTTCCAGTTTTTTACTCTTATAAATAATGCTATGATGTATTCTTAAAATTGTCCACATTATTTCCTCAAGCTAGATTTTTGGACTTGGAAATATTAGATAAAAGGATATGAACATCTTACAACTTTGATCCATAATGCAGCATGATATTTTTACAACAAGCAACCCTTCTAGTACAGTTGGCAGCAGGAAATAGTACGGTTTGAATTTCCTTTTTGTGGTCAGCAGCTAGTAACTCCTCTCCCCATGGTAGTCCAGGAGGCAGGGTTTTTTTTTTTTTTTTTTTTCATATTCTGTTATAAACATAGCAGCAGCATTTTATGCACTTTTTCCCCCTTCTCTGGAAATCCTTTAATTTTAATTTTCTGAGTCATTTTTTAAAAGATTTATTTATTTATTTTAGAGAGAGAGAGAGCACGAGCAGGAGGGGCAGAGGGAGAGGAAGAGAGAATCTCAAGCAGGCTCTGCACTCACAACACTGAGATCATGACCTGAGCCAAAATCAAGAGTTGGATGCTTAACCAACTGCACATCCAGGCGCCCCAATTTTATGAGTCATTTTGAAAATTTTCTCAGGAACTTAAATGCTGATTCTCTCCATTATTTTACTTAGATGTTTTTCTACTCTGAATCAACTCTGCTTTAGACCTGTCAGGATTAATTTTGATACCTAAGCAAACCATAAAACCTCTGCCTTTTTTTAGGAGACCAAAAACATGAATTAATCTCTCATCAAGGTGTATAGTGTCCAGGGTGATTATGAGACTTCTGTGCTTCAAGAGGGTGAAGAGCTGAAGAATTAAATGATGCATAGAATTCACACAGTCAGGGGAGAATCCATTTTCTGGGTAGCTTATCTTTTGTAAAAGCAGTCAAGATTAACTTTATATATGTGATTTCTGTGTGAAAATGAGCAGTTAATGCTTTGCTGCTTGGTATTACACCTCAGGTTTCTCTCGGTTAAGACTGAGTTTGTCCATGAGATTTTGGCACCTGTATCCCACTGACTGTGGCAGCCATTGCTAATGTGGAGATATCTCTCTTAGGTAATTCGCTGTTAGAGTGTTTAAATCACAGAATCATTGGCAAAGAAATAAAAACTGTTAAAGTTGTCAATCCAATATTGTAGTCCGAGACGTGGAGATTGGGAACAGGGGTGAAACAGGAGAAGAAACAAGTCTTTAAAAATCTCCCAGAATAAATATTTACATATTTAGTGTGCTCTTTATCAAAAATGCTGGATGAGCCCTCCTAAAATTAGTTTCGTTTAAATGAATAGAGGCAAGAAAAATGTGTTTAAAAGTTTTTGTAAAGGGTTTGGTTGCCTTGTGAAATGAAGACTCAGCAATAAAGGGTGGTGATTTTTTTCACTATTTTATTGAAATGTAATATGCTAGACACAGTCACAGGACACCAGAAATACAAAAAGAAATAGAATATAATATGTGGCTCCTTATTTCAAGGAGTATCCAACTGGTGGGCGTATACATGTAACAAGTTATTGAAGTACAGTTAGATGAATGTACTGTAGGAGTTGTATACCAGGACCAGTAAAATCATGAAGGAGAGTATCTCCCTTAGTCTGGAGGAAGATTTCAGAAGAGAAAATGTGTTCTTAGTTTATAACTTTAAGTTAGTCCTTTGTGAGTGATGTAAAAATAAATTTTTATAAGGTAGAAGAAGAAGAAAAAAATTTTTTTTTATCGTGGCTAATCTCTACAGTAAAAGTAATGCCTCTGCTGATGTACTTGTGGTCAGAAGACAAGAAAGAATCTTGTTTGTGTAGAAATTTCCATGCTTTTTATTGGAGATGCAAAATCTCCCTTTTCCATTATTTACTTTGTTTCTGTTTGTTTTTTCCAAACTCCGTATCCTTCATCAAGCAGTCTCAGATAAGGCCTGAGGAACTTAGGTGTTCTTTGGTTTGATTCCAGGGAAGGGTCTTTAAGTTAGGAAGGGCATTAATGTTAGTGTCACATCTCAGTAAAAGGATCACTCTTTTCTTTTGATGGGCACCCAAACCATGCTGACAGGGTTAGTCTATTCGAGAATAAAACCTGTACTGGTGTGTTTTAACGATTCCCTCGGTCCTCTATCCTCCATCCTTTTCATATTTATTTGTTGCTGTTTCTGCCCCCTGCCTGGGTATGCAGCTTCACAAGAATCACATTAAAAGTCTTTTTGGTTGTTTTCTTTATAAAACAAATGTGACATTTCCTTTGTCTCCCTGATTTGGTGCTGAGGAGGGCAAAAGTCCCAGACATAGGTAGCACTCACTTATTCATGTATTTACTCACACAGCATTGTGTGGGGTACTAGGTGCTGTGAAGCAAAGAAAAATAAAGTCTAGTCCCAACCTTTGGGGAATACTGTGTGGGAGACAGACATGTAAATGGACTTCTGATGGTTCAGGGTTTACAAATAGGAACTATTGCCCTCTCAACAAATATTTATCAATCCTTTATTCCAGATTCTCTTCTAGGTACTAAGAATAATACAGTGAACAAAGCAGATGAAATGCCTCTTTATAAAGAGCTTACATTCCACTTAGGGATGATGAAGGTGGGGAATGGATACCGGCAGTAAATAACAGTCAAATGTCCAATGATAATAAAAGTCATGAAGTTAATCAGGTAAAAAAAGATAGAAATTGCTGAAGTCCTCATTAGTAAGGCTATATTTCAGCAGAGATCTAAAGGAAGTAAGGAATAAAACCAAGTGGATATCTGCAGAAGAATGTTTAACAATCACAGCTAATATTTATTGAGCATTTACTACATGTCAGGTGCTCTTCTAAGCACTTTACATTGCTTAATGTATTTAATTCCCACAGAATTATATAAAGCAGGTACAAGTATTATCCCATTTTGATGTAACTCCCTAAGTTTGCAACTTAACTCTGAAGATCTACCTCATGCCTGAGAAAATTTATTCGCTCTGTACTAGAGTATAATTAAACCTCTTAATTCACAATAGAATCATTTGAACATATGGTAGACTTTCTAAAGATACCTGTTTTAATATTATTAAACACATCCTATCTCAAGACTATCAAAATGTTACTTGGTGGACATCTATAAGGAATTTACTTTCATAAATTTATTAGACTAGTTTTTCATTTCTCTTGTTGGATAAGACGGTGCTTCGAGGATGGGGGTTAGGGGAGACAGGTCTGAATTATCACAAATTCTAAGTTAAAAACTTAAATGAAATTTAACCATGATATTTATATTCTAAACGACAAGTTCAGTGAGCAAATGGGAAAGCAGCTTGAGAAACCTCTTAGAGGTCACTCATTACAAAGAAAATAAGGAACCTTCAACTCTTATGAATTGAGAAGGGACATTTGGATGCATGTATGTGTATATTATGTGACATGCCAAAAACATGTAACATACAGGGCATTCCAGAATGTTTTCTACCCCATGATGGATTCAAAGATGCTTCATCAACTATTAAATGCCATAAAGCTCCCCTTACTGTTAGAAAGAGGAACTTTGGTCAAAGGAGCAGGTCTACCTCCTGCTGGTAAGATACTACCTCCCGATAGAATACTGTGATTTCAGTGACTATGTACAAGTTTCTTTCTTTTTTTTTTTTTACAGGTACCCCACTTACGAATTTATTAGTGATAACTCTATCTCTTGGTCTGCTGGGCTACACAATCGATACACAGAAAATTCACTTCGGGGTGTGATCCTGGATATACACTTTCTCTCCCAGGCAGACTTCCTAGTGTGTACTTTTTCATCCCAGGTAAGTGATAGTAGGGCATGTTTAAATGGCCAGTATTTTTTTGGTCATATTGAGTTCAGGAAGTTCTTGGTTGTTTTGTGTATGTATGTATGTGTGTTTAATGTTATCATGACTCAGGTGCAATTTTCCTAATATTTGGGAATGATCTCTTTTGTGAAAGAATGGGAAGATTCCATACCCTCCCCTCCAAAAAAAATAGGTGTTCAAGTATTTAGTTGCTTACAAGCAATTGTTGACTACATCTCCACTGAAGCCAGCTATTGGAGTTGTTTAAAGTCCTGGCATGTTCACAGCATTTAACCAAAATAGCAAGTAAGTAAGCTTACTTAATACTTTCTGATTTTGCAGGGGTCCCTGGGTGGGTCAGTCAGTTAAGCTTCCAACTCTTGGTTTTGACTCAGGTCATGATCTCAGGGTCATGAGATCAAGCCCCAAGTAGGGTTCCGTGCTCAGTGCATGATCTCAGGATTCTCTCTCCCTCCCCCTCTGCCCCTCCTCCTGCTGGTGCTCACTCACTCGCTCTCTCTCAAATAAATAAAATCTTTTTTTCAAAAAATACTTTCTGATTTTGTATAGTCAGGATGCAACCAGAATCCATCCACTTCTATACATTGATGCACTGATACTGAGAGGCTTAAACGCCAAGCATTGTGCCTCACTCAATTGCTTTATAGGAAATAAAGTGTAAATGTAATTCTTTTTCAAGTCCTATTACATTTCTACCAAGCAAGAGACTGTACATTAAATTTAAGCAATACCATATTACAATCGTTCTTTGAGTTTAATTGTTGCAGATAATTATATGTTATGGGCTTGGTGTTTTTGTTTTTATGAGTGGTCCAATCAGCCTTGTATACACAGTGGAATACCAGCATAGAAATATTTATTGTTGGTTATATCCTGCTCTCATTTATGTGCATATTATGGGTTAGTTCATTCAACAAGCTGTTAAATGACTATTTGTGCTCAGAATTATATTAGGTGTGGAGAGGATTTCTAGGGTGATTGAAGCTACAACAGATCTTACCCTGGTCCAGAATCTAGTGAGCAAAATACTCACATGAAGTAACTGGAGAGTAATTACCAAGAAATATAGATCATGTAAGATAAATCTTTGCCTAAAAGCTTAGAAGAAGCAGAGAAAAGAAAATGTGAGAAGGAAGGCCGTACCATTTTCATGGGAATATACTTCAGAGAGTATAAAGAAATGGAGTTTTTTTATTTTGTGACAATGCACATTGTCACAATGGGGTGGTGATATGATTATTGGAAAGATACCTACCCCAGCAAAGGCTATGAGTTTCTTCAATATGAAATAAGAATACAACTTTCTACCCAGAGCAGAAGTCACATAGCAATAGTCCTAGTCAGAACACAAAACTTCCTTGGCCTTCAAGTTCCCATGACGGCATCCACTGCTGACGTTTTTTTCCTAACGGGGATAAGGATCCTGTCATTGAGAAGTCTCTTGGTGGGTGGATGGGAGGAGTTATAACTACTTGGTCTCTCTCAAATGTTATTGAGAATCTGGTTATATGCCCGCCTGGTCAACAGGTGCAAATGTAACAACCTCTACACATTTTTGAATGCTTATTGTTTGAATGATGAAGCAAGAGTCATTTTCCCAGATATACCACCTCCTCTGTAGGCCTAGATTTTAGGCCTGTCTAAAGTTTATTCCTACAGGAATAAACAGTCCAGGGTTGCTCAGCCTAGGCACTTTTAGCATTATAAGGCGGGTACTTTGTTGTGAGGTACTGTCCTGTGCCTTGTAGGGTACTCAGCAGCATCCCTGGCCAGTAGCATACTACCTCAAGTTGGGACAACTGAAAATGTCTTCAGAATTGCCAAATACCCCACAGCAGTGGGGAGGACAAAATCGCCTTTGTTTAGAATCACTGCTATAGTCATAAAGCTTGAAAATTAAATAAATATATACATGTCTGAACACTTAGCAGCCTTACATGTGGGCAGACAGTGAGAAAGGCATGTGCTCTATTTTGCTTTCCTTCTTCCAGCCCTCCTTAATAATACCATTAGGTTCATTCCAGAAAGAAAATCCTTTTATTTTTTTTCTTTTCCAGGATGTGCTGTAGAATTTTTGATTTTTATAACCTCATGACTCTAATTTTGACCCAGAAATCAGGACCTCTATTACTTTATGATAGTAGAAATCTGTCCAAGCTTGAGGGGCATATTGTCCATACTACTTTGTTCTATTTTATGCATAATATCAACCTCAGGGTGTTCTCCAGACCTCAGGTTCAGAGAAGTCATTCACATGAAGAAAGAGTGGTGCTGAAAGAACTTTTTGTCTCCAAAGGAATGAGATTTATGCTTGTATATTATATTGTTCCTAGAAACTCTTGATAAGTTAGACAAAGTTCATCCAAAATAACTTTTGTTCATTTGAACCAAAGCAAAACTCAAACCAATATCTTATATCCCAAAATAGACTTGAATACCTCAAAAAATTTTATGTGAGTGTTCAGATAAAAGTTTAACAGTAAAAATACCTTACATGTATATATTGAGTAGCAGTTTGCTAAATGTGATCACTGCCGTTATCACAAACCTTTCTTGATGACTATCAGCTGTAGCATTTGAAATTGTGGAATAATTCCACATTCACTGATAAATCTTTGGGCTTACTTGTATTCCAGCATTTTTTGCAAATATTTCTAGAAAAAAATGGGTTTAGTACAGTTCAGTATTTTTGCACTATGAATGAAATTGGTTGCTTGATTGTAGAGGTTCTCTTGCCATAAACCAAAATTGGAACTGTTTGAAATTGTCCCAGAAATGTCTCATCATCATCACCAGTGGAGTGTGAGAAAAAGTCACTGATAGCATAAAAATGCCAAGCCATTGACTCCTAGGCAGAGAACAAGAATGAGGCAACATGGACTTTAGAATCAGACTGGGTTTAAATCTAAACTTTGATCACTTAGTATCTGGGTGGCATTTGAACAAATTACTTAGCCTATCACTGACCTTTTTCTCCCCAGCCTGTAAAACAGTAGTAGCACCTACTGCATAGAGTTTTTGTGATGATTAAAAGTTATATGTAGGGTCGCCTAGGTGGCTCAGTCGTTAAGTGTCTGCCTTCGGCTCAGGTCATGATCCCAGGGTCCTGGGATCGAGCCCCACATCGGGCTCCCTGCTCAGCAGAAAGCCTGTCTCTCCCTCTCCCACTCCCCCGCATGTGTTCCCTCTCTCACTGTGTTTCTCTCTGTCAAATAAATAAATAAAATCTTAAAAAAAAAAAGTTATATATAGGAGCACCTGGGTGGCTCAGTCGGTTAAGCGTCTGCCTTCGGCTCAAGTCATGATCTCAGGGTCCTGGGGTCGAGTCCCGCATTGCGCTCCCTGCTCAGTGGGAGTCTGCTTCTCCCTCTGCCCCTCCCTACCACTTGTGCTCTCTCTCTGTCAAATAAATAAAAAAAAATCTTTAAAAAAATGTAAAGCACTGAGAATAGTACTTAGCAATATATTAAATACAATGTCTGCTGTTGTTCTTTATATAGGGAAAAGTATAGGAGTACCTTTGTGTGTTAGACTCTACAGTATTTATTTTAGCACCCTTTTTTCACATGGCCCCATTTCAGACCACACACTCTCATGTTTTAGGAGGAGCATGAAACATGCTGTTCAAGGACTCTGTTACTCCTGCTTGTGGTCATGGGTAATGCTTAGGTTCTGCTGAATAATCATGTACATTGTATGGGTATAACAATTCTTTGTTAAGAGTAGCCAGAGAGCACCTGGATGGCTCAGTCAGTTAAGCATCTGACTCTTGGTTTCTGCTCAGGTCATGATCTCAGGGTCATGAGATCAAGCCCTGCGTTGGGCTTGGAGCGCAGCAGGAAGTCTGCTTGAGAGTCTTTCTCTCCCTCTCCCTCTGCCCCTTCCCCAGCTCACACTTTCTCATGCTCTCTCCCTCACTCTAAAATAAATAGATAAATCTTAAAAAAAAAAAGAAGAAGAAGAGTAGCCAGTAAATTTGGCATTTCAATTTCTCTGTGCCAACGTACCTCAACTCTTTTATTTAGCTTATTGAAAGAGAACATCACCATATAATATAAATTTTCAGAAACAAAAGCTCTTCATTCCCAAAGGGTGAATGATAAGTAATAGTATTTGCTTTAACAAATGCAAGTAAAATTGTGTATGTGTTGACTTTAGGGAAATTAATCTGCAGAACATTCTTACATATGCCATAGGCATGCTGGGAAATGGGAGAGGACTAAAGTGTTACATCCAGAAGGATGACAAAAGAATAAAACATTGAGAACCAAATCTCAGCCCAGAATAAAACATGGACAACCAACTCTCAAACTTTCCTCAATGATAATATCATATTCCAAGAGATTATTAGAAAGTGACAAAGAGGTTAATATCTTCTTCATAATGCTTTGACAACCCTGCAGTTTTGTCTCTTGTGTCCAATCCTTTGAGGACTATTATTACACTATAAGACAATAGTGGGAAAGAGTTTATCTGTTGACCATGAGCTATTGTAGGCAATACTGGAAGAATGAAATGCCATGCAAGACTTGATTAATGTTTGAGAAACTGCAGGCACAAATATCATGGCACCTTAATCAGGATTCCTCATCACATTTTGGACCCATTCCCCTCAGTCTCAGGACTTCTAATCTTTCTTGGTTTTATATCTATAAGTGAGATCTGGGAATTCTCTCTCCTTAAAGGACAAGTTCTTTTAAGCCAATAATATGACTTTACTCTCTAATTTTGTTACTATTGTTGCTCTTAGTTTTCTGAATCCCTTCATCAGAGCTGTTTCTCAAAGCCAAGTTTGTCCTAACAGCCTCATAAATTGAAGAGAACAATCCTCAGGATTTAATCTGAAAATTAGAGGCAATATTAACATTTTCCAAGAACATCATGTAAGTTTTGAAAGCTATGCAATCACATTCCAAACTATTCTACCAAGTACTCTTACTGGAAGTTGCCTATACCCAAAGCATCTACTTTGTCACTTATTTTCCTATTTAATAAAACCATCTTAAATATGAAACACAGAAATTATAGTTGGTGAAATAGCAGTGGTTATTCAGTTGTACTTAGTTGTAAATAGGTAAAATATCAGAAAGGTTTTTTTAAAAAAATACTACTTATCTGGTTTTGGAATCAGTTTTTATTACTCTGGAATCTGATTTACAGAAATTGTTGTAGATGCTTTAAAGGCTTTGGGTAATCAGCATTTTTAAAGGAGCAATCAACATTGTTCAGTAGTTTTAACCATTAAAATAACAATAGGACAAAATTACTTTTTTTTTTTCCCTTGTGACACTTTCCTTTTTCACATTTAATACAACACTCTCATGGTACTCTTTGTTGTCTAGTTCCAAATCCACACACAATACACCTGGCCTCCTTACCCTCTGAATCAGATTTTGGAAAGCCCAAAGGGAAAAATCATCTACTACATTCATTTTATTCTAGACAGATGACTCTGGATAGGAATTTCCATTGAGGTAAGGGCCATGAAACAATAGTAGATACTGTTCTCTCTTTGAATAGCAGAACAAAGTAGTTTACAGGAAAAGTGCATACATCTCTCAGCATCACCCAGGGAGACAAGAACTTACTTCCAACTTCTCACACTAGGAGATCCTCCTGGCCCCATCTATTTTGACAGAAAAACAAGATCCCATGTGCTCTGGGAAGTCTTTGGAGGCTCATATAAACTCAGCTTCTTGCTTCTCAGGGATAAAATTCAGGTTAATGGAACTTCCTCTCCTTTTTAATTTTTTTTTTATACAGTTGCATCTATATTTTATCCTTTGGCAACATTTTTGCTCTTACTCATTACTGTGTGCTTAGTGGTGTTCTAAATGATACACTGACATGAAATACATGAAATAAAACTTACTACATATAGCCAGCCACTGCTTTCAAACCAAAGGGTTTGCCTCTCTCAATCATGCTACCTGTCTAGTATCAAACTTAGTATTGATATCAGCTGAAAGCCTTCCTTTACCTGCCACACAGTTTGGATTGGTAAAGCCCAGAGAGGAAGCCTAAGGTAATTAAATGCAAACATTAACACTGTAGTCATCTTTCTAGCCCTTTGCAGTAAATTGCCCCATGGTAAATATAGAGAAATCTTTTTAACTACGTGGATGTTATACGTGGATCTTAGGGATTAAATATCACTCATGGACCTGCATTTCCACTAAAGCAGTATTCATTCAACAGGTACTCCTGAGCACCTACTATGTGATGGGCACAGTACCAAGTACTTATTCTAAGACAGTTTAGTGTATAGTAGAGAGCCAGAAAGTATTCTCATTGTAGCTCTATCATTTACTAGCTCCTTCCCCTACCCCCACTTTTTTTTCTTTTTGAAATTCACTTAATCTTTCTGGGGCTTATTTCTTCAGCTGTAATAATATGGATAATAACAGCACCCACCTCATAGGGTTACCATTATTATGAGAAAGATAAAGGGCCTTATATCAGCCCACCTCAGTGTCTGAAATTTCTACCATTCGTTTTTCTTTGGCTTAAGAAAATACATATGTTATCCACAGGCTAACACTTTATGGAAACCAAAATATAAACTGATTATTAGGATTATCCTCCAAAAGAAAGTAGATCCCTAAGGGTGTGGGACTGAAGGCAATGTTTTTATGAGGGTGAGACATTAATAGTGGAGAGGAGGAAATACATCAGAGCTCATTGACGCAGTGTGGTCATTCCAAGGGCAATGCAAGTTCCTGCATTCCTGGCTAGAGATAATTGAAGAGTGGGTGAAGGGGCCCTGAAGAAGAAGAAGAAAAAAAAAAACCTGTCAAGTTTGCCCAAGGCTTGACTTGGCCTTATGTTTGTTCTTTCTGGTGTTAACAATCCAAATATGGAGACCAGGATCTACAAGAGAAAATATGCTTAGGAGTTAACAAGCATACACAAACTGCCTAGGTTCAAAACCGGAATCTACCACTTAATAATAGTATAACCTTGGGCAAATTCCTTAACTGACCTTTGACATCTGTAAAATGAGCATGATAGAATTTTATGGGGCTACTTAGAAGATTAAATTCAGAAATACCTAAAAACAATGTCTGACAGCAAAAACTCCAAAAATACTAGCCTCTTTCATTGTCACTATACTTTGCTATTATTGGAGCTGCTTTGTTTTAATTGTTTAGTTTCTTCCTCTCCAGAGAGTCTCCACTTGATTTTGCTTGTCCCCTGTGGGCCTTCGGCTGACTTTGGAGTTCCCGTTCCAAAACTTTTTGACCCTCGTTTTGTTACAGTCTCAGTATTCTACCAGTGATCTCAATCGTAGCATGACATCCCCACATCCCCAGTGTAAAGTTAGTTTGTTGATGGAGTAGCAAACTTGCAAGCAAAGTCATTGTCTTGGTTCTATGACTAGTTGAAATACTAGTACTACAATTTGGGCCGATCACTTACTCTCCTCATATTTTAGTCCATATTTGCAGAATTTAAAATATTTTCTAAACTTAGTTTCATTTGCAAATTACATATAGCATTTGAAAAGCACCCCTGCAGTTCCTGAAATTTAGATTCTTTAAGAAGTTAAGGTGATGCTTAACCTAATCAGATTTCATTTGCTCATAATAGTTAAGGATGAGTGGCTCCATTTAGTTTTTGATCTCATAAATACCAGAGTTTTAAAGGACTACTTTGCTCCACTGAACAGGTTAACAATTACTGTTAGTAGTATCATTTTAAATAAATGCAAAAGTATTGGCATAGTGACAGTAAAGCTTCATTAACTAAGACAACTACAACTGAGATTTGGGAAAATTTGACTTGAGTTCTCTGTTCACAATGATTTATAATGGAAGAATTTTCTAAGTAAGATGGTAGTGTTCTCTCTTCTGTCTTCACCTATTCTTAGAAAAGTTCCTGAAACCCATTTGCTCTATGAAGAATGTAAATGTTATACCCTCATGAAAGTAGTTATAGTTTAACTTTATCGCCAAGTAGCAGGCTCAGTGTACAAAGTTCATATTGTGGAATTTCAGCGGCCATCCAGTGGGCATAGTAGGTATTCTTTGGACAGAGGAATCTTTTAAGTAACCTTAAATGCATCAGGTAGATGCATCTTCACCAAAGCCTAGGCCATCTTATTTTAGTTCTGGAATGCTAATATCTACTCAGGGCTCTTAAAACTCTTTAGAACAGAAATGACAGATATGTTTTAGATCACCTGCCAATGCTAGTTGACTGTCAATTATTACATGAATTTCTGTTGAGAAGAGTTCTGAGATCAAGTCCAACCTAGCAGAAGAGAGTATGTGATTGACTGAGACTGAATGGAGGGGAAGGGAGTAGCAGCATTTGTGTAAAGTATTTATAATCCTAATGCTCAACCTTAAATTCTTCAAGGGCACAAACGATGTCTTACTCATTTTTCTTTCACCAGTGCCCAACACAAGGTATACTGTGTGACCCTTAATAAAAATGTTCATTAAAATTAACTGATTCATATTCTTAAAGTACTTTGCATTATATATATATTTTTTTTTTCTTCTAGAGACTTTAGTTGTAGTAATGTTTTATGTTTAAAAAAAAGATACAATTGTGCACAAAGATGAAGAATGACTTGTACCATATCTGAGAGCAAATGGACTGAAAACCTGTGACTAGAATCTACTGCTTCTCATCTTCTCAGTCCTAATCCTGGTCTAGTCCTAGTCTGTTTGTCCAAGGGCCTTCAGATTGCGATGAAGGAGATTTTATGTATACTAACATTTTTTTTTCATTCTTTCCCAAGGTCTGTCGAGTTGCTTACGAAATCATGCAAACACTTCATCCTGATGCTTCTGCAAACTTCCATTCTTTGGATGACATCTACTATTTTGGGGGCCAAAATGCCCACAACCAGATTGCCATTTACCCTCACCAACCTCGAACTGCAGATGAAATCCCCATGGAACCTGGAGATATCATTGGTGTGGCTGGAAATCACTGGGATGGCTATTCTAAAGGTGTCAACAGGAAACTGGGAAGGACGGGCCTATATCCCTCCTACAAAGTCCGAGAGAAGATAGAAACGGTCAAGTACCCCACATATCCTGAGGCTGAGAAATAAAACTTCGATGGAAGAGAAGGACAACTAAACTCAGTTCAAATCATTTGAGCCAAACAGTAGATGAAGAAGGCCCTGACCTTACAACACATGGTGAAATGAGTAGACAACTTTAAGCACCAGGAGCAACTGGAAATGACAGATGCTTCACTGGTGGAATTACTCTTCAACGAGGGCTCCAACGCCCTTGAACTCATGCACAGTCCAGTAATGTACTCACATATAACATACAAACAGGTTGTTTTCTACTGTGCTCCTTCTTTCAAGATTATGTCCCCATGAACAAACACTGCCACATTCTGTAATTTAAGTGACACAGACATTTTGTGTGAGACTTCAAACATGGTGCCTATATCTGAGAGACCTTCGTGACCTAATGAGAAGACCCGAATAGCTCCCTACTATGGGGAGGTTGATTCTTAGCCAGTGGTGCTATTGTAACCACTGAATTCACTCCAATCAGCAGATTCAGAATGAGAATGGATGTTTTTGTCTGGATTTTTTTTTTTTTTTAAGTAATTGCATCAGTTCATCCACTTCATCATTAATAAGTGAAGGATACATCAGAAAATAAAATATTCACACTCCATTAGGAACTTTTGTAAAACAGTGTCATGAACGGATCTTTAGTACTCAATGTTTCTGGACATTCTCTTTGATAACAAAAAATAAATTTTAAAAGGAGGAATTTTGTAAAGTTTCTAGAATTTTCGATCATTGGATGATGTGGTGGTCAGCTTTATAGTAGAAAATCTATGATAAAAAGAGGAGTTTTCTAGTTTTTCTGCTTAATTTTTTTTGTTTGTTTCTGATTGAGTGACTACTCAATTCTTAGGTCAAAGAGTCATTAGTCCATTTTAACAGAGTCATTAGTCCATTTTAACACTGAAAACTGAATTTAGTTGATACACATTACAGAGTTGCGAAGATACTCTCTGAGCGCTTTTATTTTCTTATTTTGGGCATTGTTTATTTTTTTAATCGAATTAAATAATCACACTTGTCCCAGAGGAACTGTCACCTCCATTTCCAAAACAAACAATTTCAGGCTTGTTGGTAACCTTTCTTATTGCCGCCATTGTCACTTTTTGTGAGTTGAGTCCTGTTGTTTTTCCCAGGAACCAATATGTGTCTTTTCTTATCATGTCCTGTTTTTGAGAGCACCAGGAACCTTTGGGGTTGAGCAGCTGGCTCTGTTTCTCAAGTACGTATCTCACAGTTTGTAGAATTTGCTGAATAAAGGAGAGTGGAACCAGTGTGAGACCCAGGATGGACTTGGGATTATCTCTTCCAAATACTTCTTTTAGTAATTCCATGAGAGAATCACTTCAGAAGATAAGACTTTGATGCCCTCTATGCTTTCTCTCTGAACATCACTTTTCTCCTTATAGAAACATTTCCTACTTTCAGTAGCCTGCCTCCTTCAGATGCATGGCAAGAATATTTCATAGCATGTGTTCTACATTCTGAAAGAAGAATTTGATCCATTAAGAACCAGTAGCAGGCCTGGTGTTGAATACCAGGAATGCCAAACAGAAAAGCTGTCTTTCACATCCTCACTAAATGAAAACACCTATATGTAAAATCTCCCCACCAAACTTCCCTAAATTCTTTCTACCTGTCATGTCAAGTCTCCCAAAGAGCAAAAACTAATTACCTATAGTGTCAGCAAGCAACTTTCAGTTTAGTTTTAGTACAAATAAAAGTCATTTGACATAAAAATCTTCCACTGAGCAGAGGTACTTTTGAATATGAGTTATTTTCTTTTTTCCTTTTTTTTTAAGTAGGCTCCATGCCCAATGTGGAGCTTAAACTCACAACCCTGAGATTAAGGGTCACAGGCTCTACTGACTGAGCAAGACAGGTGCCCCTGAATATGAGTTACTTCCTAATTCCCATCTCACTTGTCATCAGAACATCAGTAACCATGGGTTACTAATGATAGTATATCTTCCTCTGCTGGTAATTTCTCTGCTGAGATTTCCTGTTTTTATTCATTACAAGCATTTTACTTTCTCTAGAGAACATAGCTATAACTACTTTAAAATTCTTTTCTGCTAAATCCAATATCTGAATCATCTCAGATTTGGTCTCCTCTGTTGGTCTTTTCTCCAGAGAAGGAGTCATATTTTTCAGGTTCTTCAAACGCTGAGTAGTTTTAGATTGTTTTGCAACTGAATGTTGTAAATGTTTGTGTTGTGGATTCTGTTATATTCCTCTGAACAGAGTGCTGATTTTTTGGCATTTTAACGTCACTGGACTCAAACTGTCGATTGTGTTTTGGGCCACAGCTCAAATCTCAATTCAGTTCTTTTATCTTTAGATGGAGTTTGCCCTGCACTTTTGTGGTTCAGGGGCCCACCAGAGATTTGCATAGAGTTCATATATAGAATTTGAGTTTCTCTTTTCTTTGGTTCTTTTCTTCTGAGATTTTCCCCCTCACTTTCTAGCAGCTATGGTTGCCCTGATTCTGTGGTTTCCTCTGATTCTTCAACTGCAGTTTTCAGTCAGCTAAAAGCCATAAAAATGGGAACTAACCTTGTGCCATTTCCTTCTTCTAAGTTTCAACCTGTCTCCAGAGTTTGCCTGCTTTTTTTGTTCATTCTCCAATGCCTTTGGGTAGTTTTTTTGTATTTTGTCAGGTTTATAGTTGTTCTCCATCGGAAGATCTGTTCAGTAGGTGCTTAAACTCCACCATACCAGAAGTGAAACTCTGAGGCAGAGACTTAAAATGAAAAAGCAAGGTGTGGGAGGAAGGAACAGAGTCTTTTTTTTTAATTTTTTATTGTTATGTTAATCACCATACATTACATCATTAGTTTTTGATGTAGTGTTCCGTATTTCATTGTTTGTGCATAACACCCAGTGCTCCACGCAGAATGTGCCCTCTTTAATACCCATCACCAGGCTAACCCATCCCCCCACCCTCCTCCCCTCTAGAACCCTCAGTTTGTTTTTCAGAGTCCATCGTCTCTCATGGTTTGTCTCCCCCTCCGACTTACTCCCCTTCATTCTTCCCCTCCTGCTATCTTCTTCTTTTTCTCTTTTCTTAACATATGTTGCATTATTTGTTTCAGAAGTACAGATCTGTGATTCAACAGTCTTGAACAATTCACAGCGCTCACCATAGCACATACCCTACCCAGTGTCTATCACCCAGCCACCCCATCCCTCCCACCCCCCACCACTCCAGCAACACTCAGTTTGTTTCCTGAGATTAAGAATTCCTCATATCAGTGAGGTCATATGATACATGTCTTTCTCTGATTGACTTATTTCACTCAGCATAACACCCTCCAGTTCCATCCACGTGGAACAGAGTCTTATGACAGCCTGATTAGGCTGTAACCTTAATAGCTAAGCAGCCAGTAGCTTCAGGCAGTAAGGCAGATGAAGAACTAACCAAATTATTAAACCTGCAGGTGTGAAGGGCTAATGAATACTGCTTACCACATCTTCCTGAAAAGCTTTTCTGAGCCACTTTTTTGCAAATCATGTAAATGACGTTGATTCCTCTTTTACAAACTGCCTTGTGGGGAGGGCTGGCATTTCCTCCCCACTGGTGTACTTTCTCCATGAGGACATGGTACTTAAAAACTGCATGATTTTGAATTGAGTGACCAGTGTTGGATTAGGAAGGTTTGGGTTTTTTTCTTTATTATAAGACCCATTTCTGAAGGAGCCTTACTTAGAACCAAATTATTAGCCTGGGCTGATTGAATGCAGGCACCAAAATCCTGCATATTAATGACTAAGGGGTTATAAAAGGTCTAACCAAGGTTCTCCTGGTCCTACCACTGAAGTCTGAGTTGGTACTGAGCTGGCATTTTGTGCCTGCTGTGAAAGGGCTTCCAGCCCTAATCCAGGGTTTCTTGGTGTCCCAAGTGAGGGACAGACCAGTTGCTTCCCTCTCTCGAGCTTTAGTTTTGCCTATTATATAGAGCCCAGCCTATCTCCTGAGTTCCCTCTTAAATCAGGAACATGAACTGAGCTTCTGAGAGGGTTGTGTTAAAAGAGAAAAAGCACATTTAAAAACAATCTCATGAAATATTGGTGTATTTAGTTCTGAGGGATTACAATTACCGAATATTCAAAAAGCAGGAAAAGTATTAGTCTAAATGGTGCACTAGAAAAATCTCTGCCTCAGTAAGAAATCTCTCTTAGTTGAGGGGCAACAGACAACTAAGCCATAAGTTTGATCATAGCCAACTGCCTGATACTTCATTTGTGCTCCCAGGAAGGCTGTGCAATAGCCAGGATCGATCGACCTATATAGGACCGATGTGTGGCTTGGGAATTGATGAATTTGGGGACTTGGTTATGACACCCAAATATATGCCAGATACAGACCCTAGGGAATTTTTAAGTGCGGTGTCCCCAGGGAAGCACAAAGGAGAGTTTGCCTCTGTTCTTACTGGTTCCTGGCAGCATTCTCCCTTATGGAAACACAGAGGAGCTAGTCCAGGATCCTTGGCAGGGCAGAGGGAAGCCTTGGTAAGTTCTTGGCTTCAGCTGTCCTTGATATTATGTGTGTTTGATTCTTGCCCTTGACAGTGGATTCATTTTTGGTTCTTCATGCAAGTCAGAATTCCTGACTCTGGGTACCTGCTCAGCTATTCAGCCTTGACATCACCAGTCCAGTTCAGTTGCCACCTGCTTTCTCCTTATCCTTAAATTAGACAATCTTGATTTTGTTTCCTACTACCTTTACAGAGAATGATCTCATGTGTTTCTCTTGTTACTGTTCCATTCCCTATGCAGTTCCTATCCTAATTACTAATGCTATAGTTTTGTCATTGACATCTCCAAGATATGGAGGGAATATAAAAGGAACCAAATATTCCCCTGGACAGTTTTAGGTAAGATATTCCTGGACCTGAGGTATAATGAAGCTATGATACTGTGTATTTGTGTCTATTGAAGCTAAAGATTTCAAATATTTTCATAAATCAGTGTTACTACACTGAAGCGGAGCACGGCCAGGACATCCTTTGTGTAACACTATGTCCATCTGGACAGAGCCCTGCACTTTTTTAAAAAAGCAATATATCGAAGACCATGGCCATAATCATTTGGTGTTTGGGAAGAGAGCCAGGAAGAGAGTTCCAAGCTTCTGCTGACCTCCTGTGTCATCTGTAAGTGTTCTCTGTGACCTCTCCTCTAGCATCAGTATTGCACAGAGGCTCTTATTCCCTAACTGCCTGTGTGGGTAGAGAAAAGGCCATTAACAAAGGAAAAAGCAGTATGTTTGTTCATAACCCAGCTGCATATGGGAGCGTCTGTGGAGGCTGGGAATGTGCAGTGCTTTGCATAGAAAGCAGAGATAGTTTAGACTGTGGGTGTGGTCAGCAGCCTGAGGAATGCTGGGACTTTGAGTTTCTGACTCATCTTAACTTCCCTACTGGATAGCAGCCCCTAAGAATTTCTGGCCCAACAAAACAAATGGAGCAAAGGCAAAAGTTGTGTTTTATTTCTTTGTCATAGTGCCTACAAGCAGGTGATGTACATGTATCTCAGATCCTCCAGTGGGCTTTTTTTTTTTTTTTTTTTTGATAAATACAGTATGGTACTGTAAATGTAGTTTCTCTTCATTATGATTTTCTTAATAGCATCTTTTCTCCAGCTTACTTTACTGTAAGAATACAGTATATAATACATACAACATACAAAATATGTGTTAG